AGAATATGTGAGCATTCAAATTTTACGTGTTACACAATGTATGACCCTAACGTGGGCGTAGAATGAAAGCACCGGACATAGCTACAGTGCCCGGGGACCGCTTTTGGCCTATAATTGTGTTTGATTTGGGCTATGCTGAACCCTACGAACAGCTGAAAGCAGACACACAGCTCTTCCTGGAGGGGCACTGAGGGGGCGATTGGTAAGTTATAGTCATCAAGCTTGACCCTTCCAGGATGGCGATACATAGATACGATCGGGGTTTGTGGAAATCTGGCATTGTGTTGATGGGAAAGTTAAAGAGGGCGGTGGCACAAAGGTGATTACTTTAACATCAATAATCTTGTGTCTGCCATTACTGATTCGGGAGCACTGGAACCTATTTCCACCCCCAGAAGCCATAAGACCCAGAGACCGGAGATAACTAGAGAGATATTTGGGTGGAAAGTTCGATAACTTGGCGCCAGGAGGATGGGAGGAGGATTATGTTATTCGTCTCTTGGATTCGTCGCGGGAGTGGATATTCCTACTTTCAATTGCCTTTCCTGTATTTCCTTCCGTTCATTTGTCATGAACCTCTTTCCACCGTTCTCTGCAGCTATGTGCAACTAAAAGTATTAATCTACCGGTGACAAAATCAACTTAAAGGACCTACACGCAACAGCAAATATCCCCTACCTCCCTCCCTATTCCCTTTCCCGGCAGCCAAGATATGACAGGCATGGTCAATTGCCCAATACGCCATACCAATACAGCGATAGTTGGATCCTTAACATTAATCGGTTCCCTCTAGGCGCGCGATGTTTGACTATTGTTGTCCGGCTTACCGGGATTGACATCGGTCCGCGTGAGCAGTAGTCTCATCACCCCCTCATATGATACCCATTGTGGGAGGCCCACCAGAGTGGTGTTTGATCATATTTGTCCGGCTTGTCGGGATTGGCATGGTCGCGTGAGAGAAATAGCCTCACCTCCCCCTCACGCCCATTGAAGGAGGCCCGCCAGAGCGGTGCTTGACAATCGCTGTTTTGCCTGTCGGGGTTGGCATCGCCCCGTGCTAGCAGCAGTCTCACCACCCCCCTCATGCTAATTTCGGGAAGCCCCCGGGAGTGGTGTTTAACCAGCCTTGTCCGGTTTGTCAGGACCGACATGGCCCCGTGAGAGAAGCAGTCCCACCACCCGTTTATTACCTTGACGAGCGGCCCACACGAGCAGTGTAGGACCCATGCAATCTCTTTGCTTGATACCGCAACCTCAACAATTCCGAAGTAGGATGCGGTGGGTAAGCTGGTGAACAGGTGACTTGGGAGTAAGCAGCGACGGTATCGCCCTATTTTGATGAAAGGTAAGGTAACAGACACAAGGTCCCCGAACTTGTTGAATAGCTTCTGGGCACGTAATTCGGTATCATTTGAGATCTCTATTTTTGCTTGGATTCCCAATACAAGGAGGAATATTCGAGAAAGGGCGTATCCATGAGGTTGGAAATGTTCTTGGCCGGAAGTCCCCTGATCCGTTCATGATTTAAATAGGCTAAGCAGGTCAGTGATGGTGTATTGTGGGCATCATGCAGGATACCGGGCCGGGAAAGGTATTCTTGGAACGTGTAACGGATTGGCCGCACGGTGGATGTCTCATCGCTAACCGCGGCAAGCCCTAAGCATGATGCTAGGATCGTTTCTTACGGCCGGATGTCCTCTCGGTCAAGGACCAGCCTTTCCTTTCTACCGCCGAGGCATGACGCCGTTCATCAATCCGCAATGGCGGATCGGAGTGGGATGCCCGCATTGGTGCCTCCATCCTAAGGATTGACCGGCCCCTTCTGCTCCCTTATTCCCTGCAGTGTCCGGGCGTACACACTGTCCGGGTCCACACCAAGTCGTATCCCCCCACCTTTGAGACATCTCCCTTCTCTTCGCCAATATTGTTTCACTTAAGATTGCTTCAATACTTAGTGCGAAAAGCAGAAACCCTAGCAGAGTATAAATCAGCGATCCAAATTTCTAATAGAGCAGCTCTTACTTACAGTCGCACCCCGCTATCCCGGATGGCCAAAATCCGAAGAATCTGTCCGGAACAGCGAGGGATCCGGGACAACGGGTGAGGTTTTGGTGGAAATAAATCCAAAGCTCACAGAAATTCATACGGGACAGCGAGGTATCCGGGTTATCGAGATCCGGGATAGCGGGGTGTGACTGTACATCTCTGATGACTTTTCTAAGAGTGTTTTCATGATATCGGTTTTCAGATCTTCCGTCATCAAGTCTGAACCTCGTCTATCTTTTAGCTTAAGTATTCTATCTAGCAATATCTCCCTGGTCGGCCATATTGAGGATAATATAGGCCCCTTCCGTGAGATGCTTGTCGAGTTCCCTACGAATATATGGCCTGTGGGTAAGAAATAGCCGTGTATTTGTTGCAACTCGAATAATACCTTGCCCCGCACGAAGAAACCGGGACCGGTGCTATAGCAGCAGCTCGTGCATTGCATCGAAGCAGATGCATACTCGTTGCTTTGACGAATAATTTCACCATCCCCGGAAGCCGAGAACTTTTCTCGCTACCATCCTTCCCCGGCTCCCCAAAAGTAATTGGAATCCCGTCTAGATTCTCCGCCGCCCATACGGTTACATGTCTGACGAGACAACCTATCGAATTTGCTACCGTTCGCTCCTCCTACACCCGGTAAACGCAATAGAGGGATAAAACCCGTTATATTCGCTCCGCCAGCTCGCTTGTATAGGTGACTATTACTCGTACTAGCGAACCAATTTTCTTACAGTACTGTACCTGTTGCCATCGTCCCCGATCACTGGCGAACACTTGTTTGCCTTACGTAGGTCTTGCCAACCCCTTGACCCCCATACAGTAAAAATAGGATTCGCTATTCCGCCTTAACTGTCGCACTATGTCTCAAACTTATTCCTCTGCAGAACTTGATCCCTAACACCATCCAGCTGACGGTTGCTCACATTATGATGCCTTCTGTGGGGTTCTGGTGCCGGTAGCCATGCTTGGATCCGTGTAGACTCTTCACCTGCTCCCACGTTCGCGGCGTTATTCTTGACGTTTGAATAGGTATGGATACTGTTGGTCGTGTTATTCTCGATGCACATAACTGATATGGCATCCTGGCTCGTATCACCAGCGAAGTTGGAGGCCCGATAACTCTCGGGTAAGGTATTCATAGTAAATAAGGTTTGGTGATGGGTGGGATATTAATCAAGGAGTACGGTTGCCGAAGTTATTGAAGAGGTGGATGGACGCCTGCCTCCTCCAAGCCGAGCAAGCAGGGGAAGTCTCATCTTTCCTAATACAGTACTCCGCGCTTGGCAATTAATCCTCCATCGAGCATTGGCAGGGAAATATGCCATCTACGCACTCAGGCCCCAGCCGTTTGTCTAAGCTCTTTAAAACTGACAACTTTCCTGGTGTCCTTTGTCGAGAATTCCTGAAGTACCATCACCCGAACCTTCAACTGCATCTATCACCTCCCTTTAAGTTACCCGGGTTTCTTACTGGATAGCGTGACTGCTGAAGGGCTACGAACTCCGCATTTCGCCGATAACTGCTGCTCGAAGCCTTTTCCAGTGGCATACCCGGCCGGCATTAAGTTTATCCTAAAGGTACTGGGTCAAGACAACACGGTATAGATTTCCTTCAGCAGTACGACACCACAAGAAATCCAATAGAGGCTGCACTTGGCAGGACTTCGCGAGTCGCCCCCCAACCACATGAGGCGAGAGTGGCAAAACAAAGCCCCCAATCCGCACATAACAACTTGATACAGATATCGCCTCGCTGGGAGAAGTAACCGCAAGTCTTAGCGCATCCGTCCTCCGCTCTCTATTCGAATTTATATGGCATCCCAGTGTGAAAGTAGCCCACTTGGTCGAAGGGTTATCTGTTCGGTGGCTATGTACCTGTGAATGCCACCCGGGGAACAAACCCCATCCAATTCAATGGCGAAGAGAACCGTGAGTATACTTGATGTCGGAATAATTCTCAGAGAAACATTCTACCAACAGGAAAGCCCCCATTCCCCAAACTGGGAGAAAGCTCCGCGTGGATATATGAGAAGGGAGAAACAAAAGAAATATATACTGTGCTGACTTTTCTGCTTAGTATGATCCTGGCCACGTACCTATCCACAGCTTATTACAACATGAATTACTATGAGAACATTGGTTGGGATGCTGATTGTGGAAACTTTTTCTCGGATTCTGTTTGTGTATCCTGCTCACCCATTTTGATGCCAGGGTTGGTGCTCAAAGGCTCTTATTCAGGAGCGCGAGAGGGGATAAAGTTAATCAGGAAACTGAGGGGAGGATCCCCCCCCTGAATGACCCAGATTAGTTGCCATTTGTACATCCAATGCGTCTCGAGCCGAGTTCAAATGATTCCCTTCTCCTGTGATATGGGGGTCCCGAACTACCAACCTACTCAAGTACAATTTGTATGTGGTGGATGGTGGGAGGGCGAAAAAAAAGCATGCGGCCGGAAATGAGCTCCTTACTTCTTCCCCTCGTGAGAAACAAAACACCGGTAGGATAGCGGGGGTGGAGCATCAAAATCTTTTACACCCCCCACGATCGAAATGGTTGCCAGCTTCAAGAGATGTGCCCTTCCTTCCACCCGCCGCCGCACCATGTCTTGAACAGCGGCAATCAGTGATCACCCTGCATTTCCCCACCCCCTTACAGTACTTAAAAGCTTGGTGCGAACCACGAGTGCAAGGCTGGAAATTTATTAAACAACCTCACAGAATGCAGGTACAGCACTTCATCTCGCCTGTAGCCCCTGAGCATCGCTTCTCATCGCATGCACTAAATAGGGGAATCTGGCCCGGGGGATCACCCGTATTTCGAGAAATCATCATCCCTACACCCCGCGCCAAGAATCCACAATGTCCGTGCACAAAGCTTAACCCAACCGACAATTGCATGGCGAGCCTGAATACCGGTACAACACGCTGACAACCCTCCTAACCCATCACTGAGATGCCCCGCCAAACCTTCTCCCAAGTTTCCACCGCGCGGAAGCAAAACCTGCTCGTAGAATTGTTCCCCCCCCTCCCACCATCCCCCCGCTCCCGATATGCCTTCACTAACTTTCGCAGCGCAAGCCTAAAGCACACATCGCCCCCGGGCGTGTACGCCTCGCTCTCATCAACATCGCACAGTACCTGGCACTGCGTACTTTTCCCCCGTCGGGGACCCTACGCATCCGCTGTTCTCCCCTTCACAATCGAGTTCCCGGAATGGTACCCTGACGGCCCGCCGCGGATCGAGTTCCCGTCCGATGTCTGGCACCCTATGCTCAAGAATGGGTTATTCCAGTGGGGGAATTGGTGGACACGTAGGGAGGGACGGGACACCGTGGGAGTGCTGGAGTTTATCAAGAGCTGCTTTGATGATGAGGCGGTTGTCGTGAGGGAAGTTGGGGGGTGGAAGACTGGCTGGGAGGAGAAGGTGAGGAGAGTTGTTGAGGCGAGTCATGCGGAGAAAGGGGATGGAGTGGTGAGTTATATCCCTTTGTCGGGGTAACGCTACCAAGGGTGGTGCTAATGTGTGTATTCTAGATTCGTTTTGTTGAGTTGGATGAGCCTGTAGAAAAGGGGGTCATGGGTCTCATGAGCGGGAAGGGCGCGACGCCACATTGACCGAGGTTTATCGAGGTCCTTTCTCATCTGGAGCTTTGGCTGGGGTTCAAGAAAATAGACTGAACTTTTTTAAGAGCTGTCACGCTCTGTTTTCTGTTTTTTTTCTTGTCCTCAGGCGTCCCGATCTTGCCGTTTTTCGAGAGCTAAGGGCTAATCAGGCGCCCTTGATTTTTCTAACCCAACTATTATAGAGTTTTCCTTTTATTTTATTTCCCTTACCCTCCCAGTTTCTCGCAAAAATCGGGAATGGTTACTCCGGAGGGGGGGGGGTGAGGTGAATTCCTTCGATGGACTTTTATCTCAAGACTTTGCTGGATAACATCATCATTGCGTTGAGTTGCGCGAAGCCTGAAAACCAGAGTTCCTGCTTTGCGCAATTGCCTCGTCGTCGTAAAATTCCCCTTTTCCAACCTCCTACCCCCTTTTCTTGCTACACCCTTCCATGATCCATCAGGGTGCAGCTCATTACCTCCACTCACCCAGAAAACCCCTCACAGTCCCCATACCATCTGCCCCAAATTTCTACATGACCCGTTCAAAAATGTACAACTACGACCCTACGCCTCCGGTGTCTCCCCTCCGTCACCTCCCCTCCCTCCCAATCATTTGCACGCCGTTGGACATCCGTCGCTCAGACACTGCAACCCCCATGGGCCGGCGGTCTATTGGAGATGATAGCGACATTACACCCCGACCCCTGGGCATTAGGAAGATTAAAAAATCGCCCTCAATGCTCTTCCGCAAGAAATGCAGAGGCGGGCGGGGGGGAGAGGATAAAGATAGAGAATCGAAGAGAGGGTTTCTTGGAATGAGCTTTCCGCCAAGCCCTAGGGCTCGCAGTTCTTCTGCAGGCGTACTGGATAAGGATAAAGAAAAGGATAAGCTTGATAGGGGTGGAGCTCTTAACAATCCCCAGTGCCCTGCTGGCGGGAATGCCCAAGGATCAAACCCTAGTGCGGAGAGGATGTCCCGGCCGCAATGGCCTGCTGCGGGACAAATGGGGGGCGTCCCGTACCGTGACGGGGGAACTCATTCCCATCACCGCGAAAATTTCCCACCGATGGAGCAAAATCATCTGGAAGGGCGCGAGTCTCGCAGATCCTCTAGTCATGCTGGAAGGAATGTCCGCTTACTGCCTCACTGTAAGAGTCAATTCGCAGACAGCAGGCAGGGGAAAAGTACATTCTTGCGAAGGGCAGCAAGTACCAGTGCGAAATATGACAAGATGGCGAGGCAGAGGCTTGAGCAGAGAAGATTGGGGGCAGTGAGTCGGGTCCTTGAGGAGACTGTCCCACCAAAGTCCCCACCAAGGGGATGGAGGCAAATGGCCATGGATTTATTCCAAGGTGGTAATGGCAATTGCGGACAGGCTGTCGTCAAGCGGGTCAACTCTAGAAAAAGGGAGAGAAGTGACAGCATATCTTCCACAAAATCCGTTCTCACGTACGCCACGCCACCGGAAGCCCCCCCCACCGAACCAGACGCCGCAAGCGACGTGGGAAAACGAGCCGGCGGGAACCCCCCAGGGAATATCGGAGCGAGCGGCACACGGCAGTTGGACGGCCTGGATAGACCGGGACACCCCTCCCACAACAGGAGGAGCACCCCACCTCGCGGTGCTGTCCACGATACCAGTGTTCTTGCAGTTATTGATGGCAATCTCGGTGGGAAGAATAGAACCAGATCGCGAAAATGCGGACAGTGGAAGCCACCAATGTTAGTTATAGACTTGGTCGTCACTCCCGAACGGGATGCACTTCCTATACATAGAAGTCAATCTAGGGAGCGGAATGAGTTTTGGATATCGGTTGAGATTGAGGGTAAAGTGAACAGTAGTGCCGGATATTCCGGGCAGCCGCAAGGTGTGGGCTTGGATGTCGGTGTTTTGATGGATTTATCGTGAGATCTCCTTTCTATCCGCTTTGCAATCGCTGACAAAGGTAGTCCATATACGTCCCGTACATCTTTTTCGAGTATGAAGTCGAAGGCGAAGCGAATCGTAGAGTCAATGGAGAGTGCAAGGGATAGAGTCGCCGTAATGACCTTTCCATGCGCTTTTCCAAATAGCGTATACACTCTCAATGCCTCCGGAAGCGTGGCAAGACAGCAGTTACTTGAAGATATTATGTCTCTTTCCCTCCCGCAGACAAGCATCCCGCCATCGTCTCGCAACGTTAAGGAAGCGTTAATGGCCGCAATTAGGAAATTGAAGGCAATGCCTTCTGATGCGACGAGATATCCGCGGGCAGAAAGAAGTGCGCATTTATTCTTGTTGACCTCTCAGTTAAACGATGGCGCTATAGATTTGCTCCCGGAGGTGTTCATGGGACAGGTGCAAATTCATATTCTCGGCATTGGACCCGTATTCTGGCCCAGAAACGAAATGGGGTCTTCTGGGTGGTGTGTCCCGCTGAGCACTTTCGGCCCGAGGCCCAACAGCAATGTTGGTCATAGTGGGGAAAGGTCTGTTACTGTGGAAGAGATCATATCGACCTTAAGAACTGCTGTGGATCTTGGTGAAGCGCAGAACATAGTCGTCCATCTACACCGGGCAGGAGATTCACGAATCCTCGAGGTGATTGGTGACACCGAATACCCCCGCCTCGTCCCTGGAGAAAAGCGAAGCCTCCTCATCAAAGTCGATCCAGGGGGGCCCATAAACCTTACCGCAGCCCACGACAACGCCAGGAGCCCAACTGACGAGTGGTCGTTTGTTGAGCAACAAATCAGCTCGATTCAAGCTGACCTCGGTGTCTACGAAACCCCCCTCCTGACCGTAACACTCACATACCAGCACAACAACTACCCCCCCAGCACCACCCTTTCCATTTCCAAAACCGCAATAGTGCACCGCTACAACGAGCACTCCCATTGGCACTCCTCCCCCGCACTGAAAACGCAGCTCTTGGGCTCCCCCGAGAATTCACCAAAACGGGTAATCACTCACAGGGAATACGTGTACCGGATCCGCAGCCTCATGGCCGCGAGCATGTACTCCAACCCGGACCGTGCACTTTCCGAAATTCAAGGTATTTGTGCCGGCGTGCGGAAAGCTGAGGCGAGGGTTGATGTACACGATATTTCCAGAGAATTGGCGTATAGGGCGAGAATGGAAAAGCGGTTTTCGCAGTCAATCACCGCTGTTACCAGCGGTGGGTGTGTAGGACACGTGCCAACGGGCCGAAGCAGTAGGAGAAACTTGAGCTTCGCGAGTGACGCTACAGACGAAGTCCTCACATACTGGCGCGATGGGGAACTGCTTTCTTCCCCACTAGTGCGACTCTCCGATGAAGTGCCCCTTGTTAGGCTTGGCTTGGAAGAGTGGGATGCTGAGGTTGAAGATGGGACGGAGGAGGATATGGACGAGGCACAAAAGATTTGGAGGGATATAAAGCTTAAGAAGTATGGTTCAGCAGATGTGGGGAGTATCGGGCGGGTGAGGTTTTCGACTGATAGCTCTGAGAATGCGAATGGTGGCGGTACCGGAGGCAAGAGTCTGGTTACACTCAGGGATGTTAAGGAGACGGACTTTGGGCCTTGGAGGGTTTAGAGTTTTTTTTTTTGTACTTCTCTTCTCTTCTTTTCTGTTTTTGTTTAGTGTGGCGTAGTGGGTATTTGGTAAGATTCTGGATTGAATTGTTGGACTTGGTGATATCATGGGGAGTGCTGCGCCTTTACTGTGAGGTTGCTAAAGATGCGGGTAGACTACTGCAGTCAAGTAGTTGGGGGATAAATAGTATTAGCCTGGTTATTAATGAATTGGTGGGCTTTTTCTCCTCTTTGCTTCATGCTAGGTCCCTGACTGGGATCTGAGATGAGGCTGTCTATGCGAATTCTGGAGTAATCATAGAATACGGTGGGTAGCACATAATCGGCAGGCAGCAAACACTTTGGTTGACTATCCATGGAAACCACCCGGAGCTGGAATGCATGCGATTGCGCTGACCCGCACGAAGTATATATCTTGTCTATCGAGATCCATATCTATGGAAGGATACAGAAATACCATCTGGGAACGGTACAGCGACGCACATCCCACCGTATCCGTATCCCCTTCCCCTCCTCGGAATCGATATAACAATGCCCGGCGCATTACACACCGTCAATATAGATCGCATATATCGATATCACGATAAGAGTAAAATAAAATAGCAAAACTAGAAGAAGTAAAATACTTGTACAGTACAGTGATAGCGGTCGGTGAGGTGCACTACCGAGGCATCGCTAGAGACTTGAGAAAAATCAAAAGTGTATTTAGAACGTGGGATTTATTATGCTAGTATTCTCTGAGGGTTTATCTTGAATTATTAATATCGGTATCCGTATCGACGCCCAACTACAATATTGTACGGTAGACTACCGGTATGATATGTACCGCACCTCTAGGGGTTGAATAATTGAACCTTGTGCTAGAAGTCTACGGTAGAATTGCCTTCTCGGGCAAGGGGGTAAAAAAAAAGAAATCCCTGACCATACTGAGAGAAGCAAGTCCAACGACATAGGACACGGATCAATTACTGTATTCAAGTTTTCTATGGGAATATGATAGGGGGGGGATTATAGTATGGTACTCGGGGGGTGCTCTAGTATGTGGGGTGATCCAAGAGATTTCTTGAAGGGGTGGAGGAAGGTGGTGATGGATGCAAACTCGTCGAATTTTTAAATGTCGAGCGTTTCGCTGCCCCGTCTGGCTCGTTCAACGGCATGGAAACAGAAATACCGGTAGTTGAGAATAGCACTGGAAGGTCCAGAATCCCACCCCCACCCCTGCCCCTTCAGCCCTTACGGGTAATTGAGACAGCAGACCTTACCGGTACTAGTGCCGGTACAGGGAGAGGAAACTCCAGTGTCCTATGATACCGGTAGTGTGATTCTCAGCTATGATACTTCAGGTCTTTTTTTATTTATTTTTTACCGTATGGTACTGCACTCGACTTTCAGGTGGAGAGTGCGATATCATTCCATCTGCCCAAGCAGTAACTTATCATACCAGTATGGTAATTAGGGGCTGTTTGGCAAACTCGGATTTCAAATGGCGATTTCACGGAGAATCTGGTCAGAGAGCTTAACTAACTAGCTCTGTGGTTTCAGAAGACAAACCCGCGTTTGCCAGACTCCCCCCCTTCCTTCCCCGAATATTTCACTCTTTTTTTTTTTCGTTCCTCCCTTCCCGTCCCTTTGAAAGCCTGGCTCGAGACCACCGAGTCGAGAAATAGGAACAGTTCCCGCGAAGCGATGGGGTTGCACCGGGTGCCCGGATGAATTTTGTGGTGACTGCTGGCACGAGAACCGGAAGATAGGGAATTCATGATGCTCCCTGCCGGTACGAGTACCGCACTCGTACACGTACGGACTCTGCGTTCTCTATATGACCCGGTGCATGGTGGAACGTCGGGTGCCCGAGTACTCGAGTGCAGTACGCTAGTAGTGCTCGTGCATGGTAGAAATAGTGGGGGGGGGAAGATCAGCCAAATCCCGTGGGGTAAATTTGGGGTGGAATAGATAGTTAGTAAGGGCGGAAAAAAAAACATCGACACACAAGTTAGATATGAAAAGCCCGCTGCACTGTATTGTACAGTACTCGCACATAGTGGGCATACACCCTTACTAAATTTGATAGCACAACAATGGGATAGCGAAAATTGAGAATTATGACGGAATTGGGATCTGCACGTAGCTTATCAGTTTCTTTCTAGACCCCGAGGCGCCCCTTCTAAATCTCCAGAGGGGCCTCTCGGGCTTCTGGAGAAAGTTAAACACCAATGTAACCTGTAACTTATGTGTTTCCGGATTCTATCACATAGCCCAACGTTTGCTTCCGTGCATCGACCAACATGAATTAATCCCTATCTTGCCACCACAAGCTTCGGACCCTTTCTACCATGCGTCGATATCGTGATACGGTAATATCGACGTCTTTCCAGAGTCGTTTGGTGGTTTATATGGGGTCAAGGGTACTCTGTGACGCTCTGATCAGGGGGCTTCTCTTCCAAGCGTAGTGCTGTGAGTAGGTATCATACGCTGGCCTGGTCATTGCAATAACGAATCAGTGAGCCCCCCACCTGGCGAGTAGCAGATTCCCCTATTGATGAATTGTGGGATATCATAGTCTGTCCGGCGACGGACGGGGAGGTTGATTCAGCGAATTATGGAAAAGCGAGCATTGATAGGGTCTCGATCAACACATTCCTGTCTCTGCAAGTCACGGGTCGGCCGGAAGAGAGCGGAATTTGTGAAAATGTACATGGAAAATAAGCTCGAGGGATATCCTCCCCCGAGAATCCTCCTGCGCCCATGAGGCGGGGCGTATGATACCATCCAATCAATTATACTGTACAGACCCGCCAACACTAAGGAGTAGAGATGCGCCCAAAGGAAACCGAGAACTCCTACAATCCAACAAATTTAGCACCGTGTCCTCATCATCACCATCGATCGTAAGACGTCAGCTCCTATGACGCCTGGAGAATTGTCTGAACCCCTAAAATCCCAGCCGCGACCACAGCTCCGACCATGATATGCTTGGCCCACCCCTCCCACAACCCTTGGTTCGGTGCAGCGATCGAATTGCCCGTATCCAGATCCACAACATAATGCCTCGCAAACACTATACCCCCATTAGCCCTATCCCGTAAAACTTGGATGGAGTGGCAAACAATCATTCTGTATCCAAATGACTTTGTTCAAAGCCCTTAAAACAGCGCTCCTCGTCTCGTTATCGAGGTCGGGATGAGCTAGGACTGCTGCAATCACCAAGTCGACGACGTAGCCGAGGAGAAGTCCCATGTGTATGTACTCGACGCGAAGCCCGGGTTTCTTTGCTCTACGCATCACCGGTCAGACCGAAGGGTAGGGTAAGGATGCGGGATAGGCTTACCGATGGGCAAAGCCCGCAGCACCAGTGTGCATGATCCCGACTTTGTCAAAGTACTCCTGCAAACCGCATTAGCCCAGCTCCCCTTACCCTTAAAAGGAGATGTCCATACCCAGGTCCCCAAATCATCGTAATCCGCCACCACCAACTTTTTCAAATACCCCTTCAAAAAGCCCATCCGGAACTTGACCATCGGGTGTTCTAGGTTCAATTCCTCTATCTTTGTCGGTGCCACGCCATCATAGCCGGTTTGTCTGGGTACGAACGCCTTTGCCGTTATATCGTAGCTCAGGAGTTTCTTGTAGACCGCGTCAATGATGCCGGGGATGAGCGCTTCGACGACGGGTCTCGCAGCGTGGAGGGCGGCGGCATCGGCCTGCGTGAAGTGTATGAAGGATTTCAGGTAGGCGATGCGTGTTTGGAGGATGGAAAGGGATTTTGGATCTATGGACTGCATCTGTAGTACCTCGGCGTTAGGCAGAGTGCTGTAGAGTAAAGGGCTGGAACTTTTCCGAAGGAGATTCCAGGAACTGAAGCACAACACGTCAATAAGCTCAAATATTGTGTGATATCGGTCGGTGGTTTGGTACGGTAAGCGAGATACACCGCGCGCTCTCCATTTATACTCCCACCTTAACCCCACCACCTGCTCCAGTCCCTATCGAGCATCCGCTTCCCGTTCCCCCCTGCACAACCATCACGACATTGGGAACGAACCCTATTGGCCAATGTGCCTTTGTCATCTCCACCAGGCGCGGAGGAATTTTCCACGGGGGATGGAGATGCGGGCTGGATTTGTGACAAAGTGTGGAGTGATGAACGGTGAGAGCGGGTGTGGAGTGACAATCTTCCTCCAATTCCTCTTCCTCCCGGCAGCGGCAGGGAGATGGGAGGAGAAGGGGAAGAGTCTTTTTGCCAGGAACGGATGATTATCGGTGGCACCCGGCCGGTTGTCACGGGGTGTTGGTGGTGCACAGGCCGAAAACGTGGCGGGAATTTTGACACCTTTTGGGCAACCTTGGCACTCGAGGACCAGTTTCTCACCCCATCCACTCCGCATCATACGATGCTTTCAGTGTCCAGGCGTCACTTCTCCTTACGGGCTCCAGGTGTACCATGCTGCACAGCACCGGCATGATATCATGCTCGAGTGCCCTTGCACTCGGGTACTACTAGTATACGGTACGTATGATATCAATTATGATACTCCGAAGAACGCAAGGGAAGGGCCAGCAAAACGCCAGCCATCTTTCCAAAATCATCGCCAGTTTTTTTTATCGAGACGATATTTGAAATTTGCGATACACGGAAACCGAGGGGAAGCAGAAGGGACCTTCACGGGTCACCTTTTCTCTCTCATTTCTGTGCCTGGATGATGAAGGCTAGACTATCTATTATAGAAATAGCCAACGCTGTTATCGAATTGGGTTAAAACCTGGTGCTAGACCTGTAAAAGCGGTGAGATTAGTGCTGGGTAAATTCCCCCAGCGGATGAGATGGTCCGGTAAGATATGGTCGATGGACGGCTTACGGAAGCCTGCTGCAGTGGCTGACTACTATAAAGGAGGTCAGGAATGTGGAAAGGAAAAAAAAAAGGAAGTTAATAGGGGGTTCCGTAAGATTGTCGCCAGTGTGCAGTACCGGTGCTGTGCTAATACAAGTACCATACACTGCAACGGGTAACAGGTTAGTGGAGTGCTCATATCCCGTTTAAGAGATAACTGGAAGCAGCGGAGGCTAATAGACTACGGCAACTCCATGAGATGGGAAACATGAGAGAGTCCATCAATACTGTACCGGTGCCGTGCTGTACGAGTACTGCGCTGTAAAGTACCGTACTTTGCCGGCAATGCAACAAGCAGTGATTGCAACGGATCTCCAACAAGCCTGCCGAATTCTGCCTTCTCGAATCCGCCGGTTGTCACAGGAAATAATGCGATCACAGCGATAACTTGGCGATTCCGAACGGTTGTCTACGAAATCCCAAAAAGGAGCAATAATCATATTTCGGTATCGCCTTTCGAGGCTTAGAAATACTGGTGGAGCGATTCCGTGCCTTGTATTCACCGCTAGACCCTAATTTGGTGTACAGTCGCCACGGCCGTGTCGTATGATCCTGCAGGAGGTGCTTACTGTACCAGGAAGCACTCGCGAGTCACACTTCTCGCGTGGGCAGGAAGAGGATTCCGGCCAACGATTTTTGACTGGGACTTTTCAAGATTTGAGGGCCTACCATGACTCGAAAGCGTTCTCATAATCATAACAGGCGGAGGGAACCGCCCTAAAGCTATCCGTACTCTCCGGAAAGAATACATTCTGCATCACGAGCGAGTAACCATCCTGCTAGCCCAGATGCGGGCCGACTCTTTACTTTACTTGTGCTGGACATAAAGCGGGATCATGGAGGGGAATTATTGTACAGTACGAGTGTGGCTATCACGGTGGTGTCGTCTTGGCTAGTGGATGACCACACCCAGGCGTCCGGGACAAATCTTCGAAACCTTGGCTGGTTATATCTCTTCACATGGAGACTGCTGTTGAATATTGCACGAATAGAAATTGCCTCCGGGAATTGGGCAACCATTCGTTGGATTCGTATTCGTGGAGAGCATTACCCGTATACTTGGGAGTTTTTATGACCGAAGTTTTGGAGATTTGTTAATATGTACCCATGGGAAGCAATCCATTCATCAATTCTGTGGTTTAAGTTGAGTATTCGAGTACCGTATACCATAGCCACCCGACGGTTTTTGGGGTCTCCGGAACGCAAGTGAGGCATTAGCGGCCTAAGTTATCGTAGTTATCGCGAAATTTAATACGTTAAAGGCATCAACTATCACAAGTGAGCTTCTGGGTCATTTCCAATTGGGGAGACTTTATAAAAAAGAAGGTCGAATACGGTGCCTAAGGACTGCTGTACAGTACCAGTATTTGCACTCATCATTGGGGGTGGGGTTAGCGAACACTCTGTGATGCTGGTGCTCTTTATGAGGGCACTATGATATAAGAAATCTTTCAAAAGCCCCAATTTAATTATGATACATCAATCTCAAATATGACATGTCCGATACATTTTTCAGGTTTCCCGTGCACCCTCCACAAATCGCTTTCGCAAAATTGAGGGCTACCTAGACTGCCATGCGCTATTGCCGCCCCGGGATTCACGGCTTAATTTAAGCTGACGGCGGCTCCACTTTCTTTCCTTTCTCCTTTCTCTTTTGTTTTTGGTTCCCCTTCCACTAAAGGGTTCCCTCAGTATGATAGCCCTAAAGAACCCGACCCCTGCACCGTGCACAAACTCCAGCTATGCGAGCCCGAAAGTCGCACCGGCCCCGGTGAAGGTACGACATACGGCGCAGTAGGAATTGGGGTACGCGATGAATACAGTATTAATTGATAATATCGGTTTTATCTGGAGGTTAGGAATCCCCATAAGTTCCGTCCCTGGGCGGAATTGATGTTTTATCAGTGTTAACTGGAGGGAAACCCACTACTGTAACATCCAATTCTGGAATAAGTGAGGGAATAGGATTCTCTGATTCCGGATACATCGCGGTAGGGGGCCTTTGATCGCTCCCTATTATTATTATTATTTTTTGGTCTCCTGCCTGCGAGCGCTGATGTAACCTTACCAATTATGTATTTGGCCCTTTGTTAACTACATTATATTGCCTACGGGTGAACATGCCCAAGTTGGCCAACGGTTTTCATGACTGTTCCATGGTCACGGAAGTCCCGGATTATACTAGTGTTAGTGATGCCGTTCCGGGTTTGCATAGTGTTGGCTGACTTGCAGTAACTGTTAGTGGGGTGTGTATCATACTTGGGAAAATGTTTTCGTACTAGCTAGTGATAATTTTTCGGATCGCTAGCAGTTAACGGTTCACTAACTCTCTTATCGGTACCCGCACAGTAACTCACCTCTATTTCTTAATACCCTTGGGTAAACAGCTAGTGCACACATCTAAACACACCGACGTGCGCACTGCCTACTGTATTTGCTAGTATTTTTCGGGTAACTAGCTCCTTGACGGATAGCGGCCTTGCGGTTAACTGATAGGAACACCAGAATAAAGCGGCATAAGGCGCCAAGAGATGCCCTCCTTTGACCGTCCCCAGGGACATCCTTTCACTGATAAAGCAAGACACATGGCAGGTTTCCGGGAAGTTTCGCCGATCCGAGAACCTGGGACTGCTTGGTTGGCACTTGATGGAAAGTTCTTCACCCTCGCCGAGGGGGTATGCGTTTCCCCTACCCACCACTGCCGAATCATTTACCATTCTAAGCATTTGGTAGCATAAATTCTCCCAAAGATATAACTGTTTCGAGGAAGCAGATCTGTTTGTAGGTAGTGCCTCCTTTCGTCCCCGGGAGGGCTTACCCCTGGCTTCATTGGAGAAATACCGATACACTGTAACTTGATGATAACAAGGCAATCGACATATATATTCCAAAAAAATCTGTATGGGATAAAAGGGCGTTCATAATCTAAGCGGTCGGAAGAGAGAGCAATATTTGGCCCCCAAGATGAACCTTTTTTAGAGCCTGACCGGGCGGGGGGGCGCCCGGCGTCACAGACGATCACTCGGTAAAGTCCGGTCTCCCCTGCGTTGCCGCCTCCGGGAAGGCGGTAAGTGAGGACCGGCAGTGCTCGGTGGGGAAATTTTCCGGGTCTGTTTGAGAAGATATATTCTCGTAAAATCACAGAATAGAATAGAGGGAGCTGGTGGGCGGGCTGTTAGAAACCCGACGGGGAAGGGAGATCACGCCAGGAATCATTGGTATTTATGCACCGGAATAGAAATGGAAGGAGAGCTTGCGGGATAATCCTTGTATATCCACGGGCATAGAAATCTCAGACTCTTAGAAAAATGGCTCCTCATCTCTCCGGTTCCTGACCCTGCCAAGGTCGAGCAGTTCTACAGAAATGGCACTGGACCGGTCGGGAACTCGCATACCTCTTGCTCAAGATAGGGCGAATGTGGTATGCCATTTGTCTTTTCTTTCACCGTGGTGTATAATAGATCCAGTGGTACTTGGAACAAACCTAACCGCGAAGCGGGCATCACCAACTCACAAAATTTCCAGGTTGGTAATTACAGTAAACTAGACCATATCATCCCTTTGCGTTCATTGTTAGAAAGCTTTCGCCTATATCCCCATCCGGAGAGAGGTGAGTGGTGGCGATTCCATAACATCTTGGTTGGGGGGCTAACTAGAGGAGCAGGAATACACAATGATATTAGACGGAGTCCGCCAATACAACGACTTGTTCGGCGATCCCGAGAAGGGCTCCTCTATGGGATTTACTAGACCTGTGAGGGGGATGTTTGAGGCTATATTGGAAGAGTGCCAAAGCCAGGACGTGCAAAGTGTGCGGAACTACTGTATGTATCAAGCCTCCTCCCACCCCCACGGTGCCGAAACTAGCTCTGTGGAAGCCATACCCGCACTCCCAAAACAGACCATACGGCAAAGTCAACCTCAAAAGTCACCAAAGCAACCCCAACTTGCACACTCGCCCCCGCT